TATCTTGCGAACTGATGCTCTGTGCCCCTGAACACCTTCCCCACCCCCTCCACAGGCCCCGAGTCACGGTTCTTTCTGACGCACAGACCCGAGCACTTCAGGTTCTCCAGGCAGCTTCTGCCGTTGTGACTGCTGCTCCCCTTAACACCATGTCCTCAGGTCCGCCCCTGCTGTAGCAAGTGCCGGAATGCCCTTCCCTTCAAAGGCTAGATCATATTCCACTGTATGAACTGACCGCGTTGTGTTTATCCATCCCTCCATCCATAGACGCTCGGTTTGCTTTCTCCTCTCGACTGTTGAGAATCAGGCTGTGTGATTCTGCGTGGGTGTCTGCATATCTCCTCATGACCCTGCTCCCAGTGCTTGTGGATGTCTGCCCAGGAATGGGACTGCTGGGTCACAAGGCCATTCTAGTTTGATTTTTCTGGGGAAACTCCATACTGGTTTTCACAGCGGCGGCACCATTGTGCTTTCCCACCAGCACTGCACAGGGGTATAATTTTACCACATCCCTGCCAACATTTGTTATTCTCTGTTTTTCTAAGTAGTAATCATTCGAATAAGTAAAAGGTAGGTTTTAATGTGATAAAAAATTTGGGGTAGAATTGTAAAAGTGACTGCATAAATTTCTTGCTAAGTTGGGATAATATCTGTCAATCCCAGTGCAATAAAACCAGATATGTAGGGGAGGGCAATTGACAAAGAAAGCCAGCCGCTGTATAGCTGTGTTTGGAAAGAGAAGTTATTTTTGTCTCCTACTCTGAATATCACTAGATATGGAGCAAGGAATGGAGCTATACCAGCTGCCCCTGCTCTTTCTCGAAGATGGAGTGTAGAGTCAGATTGTAGAGCCAGTTTGCTTTTCTAAGCCACACATGGGACAGTTTAAAATGTAGTGTTGGTTTTTCACTCTTCATAGCTGAGAAATGTAGGTTGTAGAAGGGACCCACGTTCACCACTAGGGGTCCTCCGGACACCAGCATGCTTTCCTGCAGTAGCAGCTGGACCAGCCCCGCTGCTTCCATGTCCAACAAGGAGACCAGTCCTTTGACACTGTTGCTGTTTGCTAAATAAGGTGAGTGATCACACCATGGATACATGGGATTTATAGGGTAAAAAAAAAGTGAACACTAATGAAGATGTTAAAGTAAGTTGGGTGTATATGTGCATGTTCAATAAAATAAAGTTTCAGAGTTGATTAGAGCAGTGTCAACATGAAAATAAATAACTAGCGCCCTGGCCGGTTTGGCTCAGCGGTTAGAGCCTCATCCTGTGGTCCAGAGAGACCCGGGTTCGGTTCCCACTAAGGGCATGTACCTTGGTTGCAGTTTGTCCCCAGCCCTGGTTGGGTTGTGCGGGAGGCAGCCACTCGATGTGTCCCTTTTACATTGATGTTTCTCTGTCTCTCCCTCTCTCCCTCTCTCCCTCCCACTCTATCTGAACAAAAAAATGAAAAAATGTCCTCGGGTGAGGATTAAAAAAAAAAAAGAAGAAAGAAAATAACTACTTGACTACTTTTGATGTTTGTGTTATTTTGATCAATATAAACAAAACCCCCTCTATTTTATAACCATAGATAGTTAGGTTGAAATTTTTGCAGAGTTTCTTGGCCTGTACTGTTATCATGCCTCTACTAGTATATTTGAAAAACTAAAGTGGCATCTTGCTGATTTCAAGGGCCTTCTTTTTTTTTTAAATATATTTTTATTGATTTTTTTTTTTTAGAGAGAGAGAAACATCGATGTGATAGAGAAACATCAGTTAGCTTCCTCCTGCACGCCCCCCACTGGGGATCAGACCCACAACCCAGGCACGTGCCCTGACCGGGAATCGAACCAGGACCTCTCAGTCCATGGGATGACGCTCAGTCCACTGAGCCACACTGGCTGGACTCGGGGACCTTCTTTCTTTCTTTTTTAAAATTTTTCAACATTTTATTTTATTTTTCTATCGTTACCCGAGGACATTTTCCCATTTTTTGTTCAGATAGAGTGGGGGAGAGAGAGAGAGAGAGAGAAACATCGACGTGAAAGGGACACATTGAGTGGTCGCCACCTGCACGACCCAATCAGGACCGGGGACAAACTGCAACCGAAGTACGCGCCCTTAGTGGGAACCGAACCCGAGGCTCTCTGGATTGCAGGCCAACGCTCTAACCGCTGAGCCAAACCGGCCAGGGCTTCTTTTTTTCTTTTAAACTTGATGACAAGTAACCTCCCAACAGTTTCTAAACCTGGAATTTAACTTTGATCTCCTATATGGCAAAACACTTAGAAATAACCATTAATTAGCGTCTGTGAAAGTGCTTTAGTCCAGTGGTTTTCAATCTTTTTCATCTCGTGGCACACACACACTGATTACTGAAATTCTGCAGTACACCAAAGCATATTTTTTGCCCATCTGATAAAAATATAGGTATACTTTTGATTCATTCACACCGACAAATTTTATTGTGTTGGCTATCGTCATTTTCTTTTTTATTTGACAATTTAAGGGAAAAGAGGCCAATGCCCCTGACTGGCCCCAGGTATTGCCTGTTCTAAAAATTCTTGCAGCACACCAGCTGAAAATCGCTGCTCTAGTTCAGTATTGTTTAGATTAAGAACAAAGTTCAGAATTTTCTGCCTTTTTGGTGTTGCATTTTCCCTTCGATTTCTTGGCCCTCAGTGTTGTTTAGCTCGGTGGTCGTGCTTATTTCCCGGTGGTGACTGCACTCTCTGCTGCCTGCTCCGCGCCCACCAGGTGCTGCGGTGGCTCTGTCTGAGTCTGTGCTGGGCAGGATTGCTGACCCAGAGGGCTGGCACCTGCGTGCACGGATCAGAGGTGCATGCGGCGAGAGCAGCTCACCTGTCTTGTGTTCTTTCTGCGGCATGTTTCCGGAACTTCTTTCTTTCTTCATCCCTTTGGTTCTCCCTGGTTATTCACTGTCTGTAGGCCGAGTGGGCCCTCTTCCTGACTCTGTCTTCTTTATCTTGTTGTCTTCCGAGGCCCACAGGACCTTGTTCATTTGGAGGTGATACTTGGATATCACCAAAGCTTGGTGGGGTGGGAGAGAGCTGCCATCCACTGGTCACTTCAATGGCAGAGACCTGGCTTCCCCTCTCCCTCCCTCGCTCTCCACACTCACTTCCCACATCCTAAAAAGTTCCATGTCTGTGCCTGTCTCCTCCTCCACTGCCCTGCCTTTGCCCCAGCCTCTCCCCCCACTTGTTTGCTTGTGCCACCCCATCTTCTTTCCAGTTGGTGCCGAGGCTTCGGTTCAGTCTGGCTCATGCCCCTAGTGGGGGGGGGGGTGAAGACCCCCGGCTTCCTGGATAGCGGTTGGGCTCAGTGACCTCTTCCTGTTGTGTAACCCTGTCTTCACACATACTTAACAGATGCGCTAGCCCTGCTTTTGCTGAGAAGATGTGAAAACGAGATGTCTCTCACCCGCATTTAGTGTGTAGGGTGTCCAGGGGACTGGTAGAGGGGCTTTTATTGGATCTGAGAGCTCTGTACTCTAAGAGAGACCTACAGTCTGCTTGGTTGTTTCTAGTGTCTCAGTTGATGATTCAGATTCACCCCCGGCCCCCCCACCCTCCATTCTTGGATTCGAGTCGGTTGTCAGCCTCGCTCTGGCGCTCCCCATGGAGCAGTGGCCTTTGCGCCAAGGTCCTCGGACGGTAGAGCTGGCATAGTCTGCATGTGCTCAAACAGGTCTGTGTGCTGTTCTGCTCTTGTTCCAGCTGGCTGACCTGTGTTTTTCTGGAGCCCCTTTTCTTCCCAGAGTTGCCTGGGGTCAGAGTTCACACTGGTGACTGATGTGTTTTCACTGGGGCACTTTCCAGGTCACTTGAGCCTCACCGCTGTTAGGAGCCTGAATGTGAAGCCTGGAGACAGAGCCATCATCAAGAGCAAGTGTTAGACATGAAGCAGACTGTCTGGGCATCACTGGACACAGATACGCCTCTTGTTCTAGCCTTTGTTCAGCTCATTTTCAGAAGTTAGTGAACGCACAAAGTCTTAGTCATGTTCACAGTTAAGTAAAGCACTTGTTTTTTTTAGTTGTTGTTAGTTTGTGGGATTGGCTACTAACAGCATGGCCCATCTATCTGGAGGCCTGTGCTCAGCTAGCGAAGGGCTCCAGGAGCCTCGCTACTCAGGACCGAGCTGCTGACATGGATGTGTTCACATTGCTGGCCTTCTGAGCTGACCTTCACTGTCTCTCAGCTTGAATGCAAGAAAAAGTAGTTTTGCATTTTAAAGCGTTGCTGGTGTCCTTTCTGTCCCGCTGCTCCAGTGTGCGTCTGACGTTTTGAAGCTAAGAAAAGCCATTGTGCATGTGGACCCTCCCTGTCCTCCAAGCTGATGCTGAACAAGTCTGCAAGCTCAATTTCCGCTTCTTTGTGCTCTAGCTAGTCGTCTACATTTACAAACTCACCATGGATATGTCAGTCTGGAAAAGCATTCCACCTCTAAACTATTTGGGTTCCTACGGACATGTATTTTACAAACTTGTTTTTAATGTTGATGAAGCTTTTTTTTTCTCCCAAAATGATTCTTACCTCATTAAGGTAGTTATTTTAACTGTGAGGCCAGATTTAGACGGCAAAATGCCCAAGGCATGACTTTGAAGGCAGAAATGGTCTGCGGGGGGGCCTGTGCTGGCCGCTGGTCTGCAGCTCCCCCTCGGAGGTGGGCTCCTGTCAGTTTGTCATCCAGTCTGCTGGGTGAGCCGAGCTGGAGGCTGAGATTAGCATATTCATGAGGGGCTGGCACTGGCCTCTTGCTCTCCTCCCTGTTCTCCTCCCTGCTCTCCTCCTCCTCCCCTCCTCCTCCCCTGCCTCCTCCCCTGAATGAATCTAGGAACACAGACCATGGGGTCACATTACGGGTGGCTTCATTCTGCTCAGCGCCTGATCCGGCCAGGACGGCCTGCTGCAGATTGCGGAAACAGAAGACTGATTGAGGGGCACTCTTCAGCCGCTGCGAACAGCAGGAGCCCCTCCGCGTGCTTCGCGCATTGAGAGAAGGAGCCAGGGAGGCTGGGGCTTCTGGCAGATGGAAGCACGCCCCGTGGGGCCGTGACCTGGGACTGGGTGTGCGGACTCCGGGCTTGGTCTTTCTGACGCTGAGTTGATGTTGCTGGACCTGGCGGGCCGAGAGGCCCTGGAGCCAGCAGGGGCCATCTGTATGGAGAGGAGCGGTTGTAGCCCCTTCCCAGTGTGTTGGGCTAAAGGTATGAATAACCTCAAACTCGGCTCGGTTACATTTTATTTATAGTCCTGCTTTGCGCTGAAGTGGTAGGTGAGGGTTTCTCAGAATTTATTTCAGATAGGTCACAACTAAATTGAAGGGAAATGGACACTGGTGTGGCATGGGCTTGTGGGCTCGCGGGGCTTGTGGGCTCGCGGGGCTTGTGGGCTCACGGGGCTCGCGGGGCTCACGGGGCTCGCGGGCTCACGGGGCTTGTGGGCTCGCGGGGCTTGTGGGCTCGCGGGGCTCACGGGGCTCACGGGGCTTGTGGGCTCGCGGGGCTTGTGGGCTCACGGGGCTCACGGGGTTCACGGGGCTCACGGGGCTTGTGGGCTCACGGGGCTTGTGGGCTCACGGGGCTCACGGGGCTTGTGGGCTCACGGGGCTCACGGGGTTCACGGGGCTCACGGGGCTTGTGGGCTCACGGGGCTTGTGGGCTCGCGGGGCTCACGGGGTTCACGGGGCTCACGGTGCTTGTGGGCTCGCGGGGCTCGCGGGGCTTGTGGGCTCAGGGGCTTGTGGGCTCGCGGGGCTTGTGGGCTCGCGGGGCTCACGGGGTTCACGGGGCTCACGGGGCTTGTGGGCTCACGGGGTTCACAGGGCTCACGGGGCTTGTGGGCTCACGGGGCTTGTGGGCTCGCGGGGCTCACGGGGTTCACGGGGCTCACGGGGCTTGTGGGCTCGCGGGGAGCCCAGCAGGCTGCTTTTCGAGCAGTAAAAGGGTTTTCATGGAAATGCATTGTCAGTGCGTAAACTGTCTTTTTTATATGCTCTGTCCTATGTCTTTTGAAGTTTCATGTTTTAGTTCGTGTTTTAATCAAGATGTCTGTTCTGTGATGTAGGATGCTTTAAGGAATAATGAGACCAACTTTAACTTAGATAAGACTGTAGGAAAAAAGAGTAACATGGATTTTCTAATTTCAAAAATTGGTTTCCTTTACTTCCTGTATAGGCTAGTATTTATTCCACTTGAACTCCATGGTATGGTAAGGTGGGCTTCTCACTGAGGGTCAGCACCACTGTGAATGAACGGCCTTCCACATCACAGTGGTTAGGGTCTTTATTTATATAATAATGTAAATAGAAAATGTAGCATTTTTATTGCAGTATTTAAGGCAGTATTCGGGGAGCATGTTTAGAAGTTAAAAATGCCATAAATTCATGCAGGAGGAAGACTGAAGCCTCTGGCTGCTTCCCTTGGAGGAGCGGTGAGCATTCAGTCTGGGAGACAGCCAGTCCTCAGGGAGGGGTAGGGAAGTGCTCTCGTTTCCATGTGCAGTGTGGACATCACGTGACTGCACTTGGGCAGTCTTTGCGAAGGCGGCTCCCGTGCTCGGGAAGAGCTGCAGTCCTGTGGATGGTGCCACTGGGGTGGATGGCAGCACCGAACTGGAGCCGCGCCCTCCATTGCCAGAGCGCACCGATGGCCCGTAGTTACCTGAGCATTCTTTTCTAGGCTTTTCGGCATTTCTAACACATGTGACAAAAGAACTGGTTTAGTGCAATGCTATCTGAGTGAAGCACCTGTCACTTTGTTAAAGAGAAACAATTTCGCTGAGTTAATTAAAACTCTTGAACTTTAAAGGTCTTTGGGTTTGAGAACTTTTAGAAATTGGATTTGGGAAGCTCCGGGTGTCTCGTATAATTGAGCGTGACCAGCAATGAGCGCTCAGGAACAGAGTTCTGTGCTTGGGGAACATTTCGGTCTTTTCCTAGACCTGCGTTGGCTGGCACATCTGTCAGCGCTGGCCCTTCACAGTGAGGCTGCCACCTCACTCACTGGGTCTAGGCCAGACCCAGACCTGCGGTCCAGTAGCAATGGGGCATGAAGTGACCAGCTACTAGGTTTTTTAAAAAAAAATTCAAAGTAACTTTAGAAACAGGAACCTTGGAAGAGAAATTGTAGTGTTTTTGCTCATCCCAAAGCAGTTGCTCGAAGCAGCCTATTTTAAAAATCATATTTGCTAACTGGCAGAGCAAATGAGTAGAGGCATTTTTAACTGAAATGCCGTTTTGATAGAGGGAGCAAGGGTTGGGCAAGAGACAGAGCTCGCGTGTCCACGCCAGGAAGAGAGGGGGCAGCATCAGGTCAGAGCCAGTCTGTCTGGGGATGGAGCAGGCCCTTTCCAAGCAGGGGTCTTGCCTTGGGTTGTGCAGGAGGAGACTCAGAACACTGAGGAGCTTGTCCGCGTCCTGTTCTGCAGGCTGAGCGTGCCGCTGCCACCGTGAGCCACCGCGGCTCTGCGTGCCCTTCCTGCCGCCTTCTCAGTTCACTCTGCACCCGGCAGGGCGGCAGGAGGGCTTAGCTTTATTCAGGTTGATTTTTGTTACATGATAAAAGCAAAGATGGGGGTGTAAAGGAACTGGCTGAATTGGTTATTGTCAAGTATAGAAGTTCCTACTTTTAGATAAATACAAAATGAAAAGCTCAAATCCAAAGAATATGGTCTCTCATTGCAGTTAGACATTCTAAACCTCACCTTTGATTTTATCAGCCACATTAACCTCAAAACACAGCAGTGTCCCAATTTAGGAGGACATATAAATACTTTTTAGAACAGGCTAAAAATAATGGGACAGACCTATATTTGTATACTTTGAACTGAAACCTTTCAGGTATTCACAGCCTCTGGGGTCTCTTCGGTCACACAGTGTTTTGTGCCATTGCAGCGCCACCTTAGATCCCACCCACGGGCGGTGGCGAGAGTCTAACCTGTTTAAAAGGACTTTGTTAGAACGAGTTCAACCACATCACAGTGTCCTAGGCTTACGGACGTGTTCATTTGGAGCGTTGAAGTAAACGTCATGTGTGCGCTTGGGTCTGGTTGCTGACTGGATGGGGAAGGCCGCGTGTGGGAAGGTCTCCGGTCACACCGTGCTCGTCTCACCTGCAGCACGGGGACGGTCACACCGTGCTCGTCTCACCTGCAGCACGGGGACGGTCACACCGTGCTCGTCTCGCCTGCAGCATGGGGACGGTCACACCGTGCTCGTCTCGCCTGCAGCACGGGGACGGTCACACCGTGCTCGTCTCACCTGCAGCACGGGGACCTGCAGCACGGGGACGGTCACAGAGGAGCTAGAGGTGCTAGGGAACAAATGCACACACAAACGTACAATAGGAGAGAAGGTGTTTCCGAGAAATAGGAGGTGAGGAAGAGGGCTGGGGAGGTAGGAGGGGACTTCGGTGAAGAAGGGCGGCTGGCTGTCCTGGGAGGAAGTTCTAGAAGCTCAGCCCGGTGGCTCTGCAGCAGAAGGGTGAGGAGGTTCCGCTCCGCCCCATGGTTTCTGCTGCTGGGGGAGGCACGGGACTCATGGGACCTCTGGAGCAGTCACGTTCCAGGGTAGTGTCCCCCAGCGCTGACACCTGGCTTTTCAAACTCTATAGGTGATTTTGAGGTCCTGCAAATTTTATCTGAATTTTAACTTGAGACTTTTCACACATGCTTTTGTTTAAAATTATATTGAGTTTGGGGGTCTAAATACTCATTTTCCTTATATTTACGTTGGCCAGAAAGTGTGTTGAAAGGTGTGTGTCGTCTGCCTTATCGCAAACACCAGGGAAATCACCAGGCCTGTTACCCGGGGTGGTGCCGGGGTGGTGCCAGGGTGGTGTGTCTCCTCACGCTCTGCTGTGTAAACCGCTTTGCTTTTTTTAAGAAACAAAGTCCTGCTAGGATATCGTATATTCATTTTTTTTTTTTTTTTTTACTGTAAGGATCTTACTGTTTTGAAAGCAGACATTCACTGAGAAGGTGAGCATCCAGACTGATGCATGTTCTCCTCATCCTACTTCTGTGTAAGTTTGTGGTGGGATGCTATACCGGTGGCATGTTCCAGGTTTGAAAACCCCATTTTTTTTATAGGGCAAGGTTTAGGAGGACGTTCTAAAGGATGCTGTGCTGGACTTGGACTTGGTGTTTGGGTGTGATAACACATCTCAAACTTGCAGATCTTGTCAGGAGAAGAATGGTGATCTGTGAGCGTCACCGAATGCTGCGCAGGGCTGGGACGCGCTTCTGAAGCTTGACGCAGTGGGCAGGTCTGACGGCTTCCGTTTAGAGAACAGTCCACTTACTGCTCCCCCTTTCTTGGCCTGGAGAATCAGGTTGCCCTTCTTCAGCGACTGTTGTTATCTGTTGAATGCTAACTTTGTTTCCTGTGTCCTGCTAAGCACTCTACCTGTATTATCTCAGCTCACAGGGTAGGTGTGACATGACCACTTCCACCTACAGACAGGGCACCTGTGGGGACTGCAGAGTCTCATAGTTGTGAGTGGGGAGCCAGGCTCAGTTCTTCACGTTATCAAGCAGCGGACCCTGCTTCTGGATCAGGTGCTGCTCAGGGGCACAGCCTGTAAAGCCCTGAGACGTGCCTCTGCTGTGGGCCCGGCCTTGTCCAGTGACAGTCTCAGAGGTCACATTGGCTCGTGCTTTTAAACATTTACTTTGGTGATTTAGGTGAAGTTTCAGCTGTCTTGTGACCCTAGGGTGTCTTGCCCATAGAAAGTGAATGAATGGCTTAAGGCAGAGTAATCTAGTCTCGATATTCTGTGGGTGCACCTCACCAGTGAGAGTCTTCAAGGCCATAACAATTGTAATAAGTTATGTTCCCCACTGTGCACTGTCTGAATATAGAGTTTTAAAACATGACTGTGGACAATTTCTGGTAAACCGGAATACTAGAACAACACATTCTGCTACTCATAATTGGGGCTTGCGTGGAATGAGGCGTGCTTCCCCCCCTGGCTCCCGGACCCTGTGAGGAAGCCTGGGCCCACCTGGGTGGAGGTGGACATGCTCTCTCCTGAGCGGAGGTGGTGCTCACACGCAGGGGCGCTGACTGGTGGCCGCTTCCCTGCTGAGCGCGGGGTCCCCGGGTTTGAAGATAGCCTCTGCTTTCAAAGCAGGGAGATGACCAGAGCCAATGGTTCCCAGGCAACAAAGGTGACACGGCAAGCAGAAGGGAACTAAGAACAGACAG